TGAAGGTCACCAGAACCAGACGATTATTTTACAGCTCCTCAACCCAGCTCCCCCGAAGTGGAATTGCCTTGTGAATTTTGTGGAGACATGATATTAGCCTCACAATTGTTGAGCCATCAGCTAAAATGCAATTAAACTTTTCTTATTTTTTTTATAAACATTTACAAATCATCTACATTTCTTGCAATTTTCTGCAAGGATTGTCGATTACAGATATGCATATGACATACATTTATTTGTACTTTTTACTTAGTTTTAAGGCTTGTATTTTTTGCTCATTGTTATTACGTTTGTTTTCTATTATAAACACATTTAAGTTGTATTTTTAAATTTTAAAGTAGCTCTCGTGTTAAGAATGGATAACTTGGCTGCTTTTTAACTTTTTATTACATTAATGGTTTAATGAAACGTTTAATAAATCTATTATAAAAAATGTCTTACCGTATTTATCTTCAAATCTTCACTTTTTCGGTAATTATTAAATATTAATTTTTTTAATTTTCTGGATGTTCCATCTTTTGACAGTTTTCATCACAGAACATCTATATCAAAGAAAACAAAATCAAATAGAAATCTGTGGCAACACAGAACGACAAAACGCGCGCACAGAAGAATTGTTCTCTCTTCTATGACGCGCGTTTAGGTGGCACCCTTGTTTATGAAGTGCCACTCATCATAAACCATAGAAAAATTGCATCTGTGTCATAAACTAATATCCTTACTTCTGCTCTCTTCTTCTCGTCTAATGGCTTTTGCTCACTGGGTGCAAATTGTCAGTACATGTGAGTAGGGGGGTAGGGGTCTATTATCCTTACTTTTATGCACCGGGTCACTTATAAACCGGTTGTTTAATGATATAGTATTACCAGATGACTTCTGTGGTATTACCTTATTTTAAGATTAAGGACTACAGCTTTATAAACAGGAGCCGCACTAGTTTGTACCGGTGGCAATTTAAGATTATTAGCATGCGAAAAACATTTGTATCACACAAATTTAATTTACATTATATTGCGGGTTTACTACCTCCAAATGGAAATTATGTATAGCATTCAGCAAACGTTTAAGGTTTAATAGCAAGTATATTCTCTACCTTGTTAAAAAACTATCGCAGTAAATGCAAATTAATTTGTACCCGGTCCCGCGCCATCTAAAACTCGGATTACCCGTTTACTCATCATCGTTAATATACTATCCAATCTATACGTAAAGGACCCCTACTAAGGTATTACATTTTTATAAACAAGGCTTACAATACTGTGGCCTTAGAGATATATCTCTAAGTCCACCATACAAAGGACAGAATCCACCGTAAACTAGGACTATCCTTCTATATAAAAGGAGGGTTTTTATAAAAGGGCAACCCGGAAAAACATTCTGATCATCAGACCAAATTTAACATATTAATAACTAATATAAATTAAAAAAAAGGTAAACGGCCAACAACATCAACCCGTTTCGCTACAATACCTGACCTAAAATACTTATCAAAATAAATCAAGATGTTGCAGCAAACGATTTCCAGCTAATGTGAAAAAAGTTAAAATGACACCTAGCCTATTAGCATCCTTTTTGAAATAACTGGAAAACGTATTCCTTGTATAAAAATTTTATTATTCACAAGTACAGTGCTTCTACGTTCCTTAATTGCAATTCAACTCTAATTTATCCGGTCCCACGACAACATCCCTTCGTTTATAAGACCAGGTTGCGGCGGTACGATTTCCATATCATAAACCCGCCTACTTGAAAAGGATTTTGGATTACTGCCGTTCATTCATAAAACATCGAAGTTAATATACACTAGGCCTTACTGCATCAACAGAATACACCAACAGCTATTCTTGAAATTCGCATAAAATAGTACATTGAAAGAGCTTGGCCAATATTTGTTTTGGAATAATAAAAATGGCTTTCCAAGCTGCCACAAACAAAGATGGCCACTTTTTGCCAGTCGGCATCTGTGTCACCGTCTGTCAAAGATTCAAAATGGTAATTCTGCGATGCCATTGGTGAAAGGTACAAAGATGGCGGCTTGTCTGCGTGGTTCACAGAAATCACAGATGTATGTTGCAGTTTCCCACGGTGAATTGACTACAATTCACCGTGGCAGTTTCCCAGATCCAAGTTGCATGTCCCTGGTTAGACAGGTCTATGCACAGAGCACGTTAGTCCCGTAGGCAACCACAGTTTTAATAACCTCAAAATTCGATGACGACCAAGGTCTTATAACGGTAGAGGTCGCCCGGTTCCGAAACGGAGCGTTCTTTTCATACCGAATATGTCGTAATACCAATTTATGTAAATATGTCTTTGGTCTTAAACACCGTATTTGTTGTCCTTTTCTATATTTTCGGGTGCAAGGAATCGATTACGAATTCCCGAAGAGATTCGAGATATAAGATCCTTGGATTCGAGCTACGTCCTACGCCATCTATGGGCAAAGTTAAGAGTTAAGTAAGTAAACAAAGATATTGCAAGATTTGCAAGGCAATTATTTGCATCGCAATATCGCATATTAAAAAATGTGTGCTGCAGCGGATTTAACGGTCAGTTTAAATAGCGCTTCTTCAAGAAAAGCTCCGTTCCACTTAACGACCTCAGGAAAATTTTTGGTTGGGATTACAGGTATTACATAACCTTTTTTTATTTATGGGGCTTTTTACATTCCTAGCAAATTTTAGGCGGCGCAGCTCTTGGCTTAACAGTTATCTGTGCTCCCTTTGTTACCCCAGCTTTAAGGAGATACTGTTTGCCATACGTACCAGCTACTAATGAACAAATAGCGAATATATTGACTGCGCTCAAGGGTCGAAAAGGATCTTTGCTTGACTTAGGCTCTGGTGATGGACGAATAGTATTAGGTTAAAACGGCAAGATTAGTTAATTGGTGAACTGTTTCAATGCTGTACTGTTTTAGAAGCCGCAAAAGAGAAGTTTGTATCTCATGGAGTAGAGCTAAATCCTTGGTTGGTGTTTTATTCTAAATTTGATGCCTTTAGACGAGGTTTGTCAGGAAATACAAAGTTTTACCGTAAAGATTTATGGAAATGTGATATTTCGAAATATGATAATATTGTTATCTTTGGCGTTGACCAGATGGTAAGTAGTAACCAACGAAACCAAACAAATACTTGGTGATTTTATATTTTAGATGTCTGATTTACAGAAGAAGTTTCAAACGGAATGTAAACCGGGTTGTAATATTATAGCATGCAGGTATCCGTTACCTAGTATGTCACCCTATAAAACAATTGGTCATGGAATCGACAAAGTATGGGTGTATAATTTTAACGCCCCATGACAATTAACTCGATCATCTATTGTTTATAGATGGTTTATTTATTATTCCCCTGTAATTTATTGTGCAATGTTAATATCTATGTTGAATTAGTTTACTGTCTAGTATTGTCTTTTTGATTTAGTAAATATAAAAATAAATGCTTTGCGAACACAATATTTTCAATGGACTTTCACAAGTGCAGGGTTTTAAAAAGGCTAAAATAATGACCTTGGCTATAAAAATTGTACAAAAATCACCTGAGTTGGGGCCTCCCGTGTTATGCGAAAAAATTCTTATCTTTATAGAATACGTTTACTGACCACGTTATAAACAATTGTTGGTATATTTGTAGTCCTTATACATAAGCTAAATATTCAGTGACACTGTAAAAGCAATGCTCCGTTAAAAAGTCCTTGGCAAATTTATAAAATTCTTAATATTTACTATAGAAGTGCGAAATAAATTCATTTTTATAAAGCTGACCTCGAAACTGCCGTGGCGAACTTTGTACGGGCATTACACGTAAGATTCGCATACCAATAGCTCCGGAATGGTCCCACGATGAATTTCGGCGCCGCTAAAAACCCCTGATGGCCCTTACGGCGCCGGGAAATGTAAAAAATTGTAAATAACCGTTTTCGACGGATAACCTCACATTTGTAGGAGACCACGGACACTATGAAGCAAGCAGAGTGCTAACCTAAAATCAAAACGGAGCACTAGAGTAGTTCAAATGTGCGGTAGGCGTTCGCTGTTTTTATAACCTAAAAATTTGTTTAGTTCAAATGTCCCGTAGGCATCCACTGTTTTAATAACCTCAAAATTTGATGACGACCAAGGTCTTATAATCGGTAGAGGTCATCCGGTTCCGAAACGGAGCGTTCTTTTCATACCGAATATGTCGTAATACCAATTTATGTAAATAAATATGTCTTTGGTTTTGAACACCGTGTCTGCTGTCTTTCTCTATATTTTTGGGTGCAAGGAATCGATTACGACTATTCCTGAAGCGATTCGAGCATGCCCGAACTTTCCAGAAGGCTGGAACTACCGTATTTGGTGTCTTTCCATATATTTTCAGGTGCAAGGAATCGATTGCGACTATTCCCGAGGCAATCCGAGCACTTCCATCTTGCCCGAAGTCTCTTGAAGGCTAGAATGACCGTGTTTGGTGTCCTTCCTAATATTTTCAGGTACAAGGAATTGATTGCGACTATTCCTGAAGTGATCCGAGTTCTCCCGATCTTGCCCGAAGGCTAGAGCCATAGGCGGCGCAGCCGCCCCATTGCTGCCACCTAGAAGTGACTATCTCTGCACGAAAGCGCAGAGTATACAATTCTAGTTATTCCTATATTATGTAAATTGGGTTGGTAATAATACATTATTTTAGGGCGCTTTAGAGTATAGGCCTCCTCCTCCCCTCACAGCCTTCCTTAACCATCACCATTATCGACTGCCAATTACAAGATTAGCACCTATGCATCTATACGCGGTTACATATTAAATCTCGACGTAGTCAGACTTTTCTGTATTGAAATCTGTTCCCCTGAGAGATTCGAACTCGCCTCGATAGCTTTCCGCAATAAGAGACAAGTGGACATAATAGACTGGAACCGAGGTTATTTTATCGATCTAAGAATCCCCAATAAATAAAAGTTTCCTTATGGAGTAAATTATGCAAAGAACGGTACCCCGAATAGGAGAATTAAGGTGTGGATGCACGGTAGCTCAGTTGGAAGAGCATTGGCCCGGAAAGCCAAAGGTTCAGGCCCCTGCTGCGTTAAGCATTTTTAATTCTCCTACAGTTATGATAATAATTTATTATGAAATTACAATTAATACAGTCTGATGGTTACAAATATTAAGTGTTACATTATGAGCTTACGATAAAGAATTGACAAATTTCATAACCTAAAAACGTTATTTAAAAAAACATTAAATAATATAAACTATACATAAAAACAATTTACATAATGTTATTACTATAACAATAATTATACATTTTATGCAGGTATTACTCGTAAAAATATTTTACAAAATTAGTTATTCCGTTCCAAAGGGAAGCACAACCTAACAATTCCATATTTAACATTTAAAAAAACTCCATACAAATTCCGTTTATCCACTAAAACCTAATTTGGCGCTATCAATTTGGCGTATACTGACGCCTTGTTTTTTTTTATAGTTTTTATTTTCGTTTCGTTCAGTACAAGTTACGTCAACAGCCATATTACTTGGAATGCTAAACTTTCGAGGAAGAAATTCCTCACAAAAAAATGTTAATAAATTTACCAAACACAAACAACATCTTCACTGATAAAAAGGGATAAAAAAAGGATCTACACAAAACTTTAAAATAAAATATACAATAATAAAGATTAAGTAAATAATCACAGGTTAACATTTCAATTCAAAATTCACACTCATCGGATATCAAATGTTGGCATTGTGTATCTTTTGTTGAACCATGTCTAATAATATATCGGAATACTGCTCCATAATATTTATGACTGAGTTAGGCCCCGTCGGGCCTTTCGACACAAGATCGTTTAATTTTTTTACGGTATCCGTTTGATTAATATCAATTCCACCGTTATTCTGCTTCAATTCCCTGAAAATGCAGTCGTGGAGGACCTTATGTGTGCGGATCATTGACATCTTCACCCTGTCTATCTTTTCGATTTGAGATTCGTTAGTGTCGTCACTTTCATTGAGACGGTCATAAAGCTTAACGACTTTCTCTGCGGTGGTTGTGAGTTGGTCTATTAAGTCATCACAAAGCTGGTTTGATACTGTAAAGTGTAAAGGGTTTGTTTCTTTAAATGTATACTCAATACATTTAAATATTGGCATGCACATACTAGCCATTAAATTGATAAGACCTCAAGACCCATAGTAGAACAGATTGAATAGTACAAAAAAGGAGAATTCACTATAACGTTCTAATCAGCGTGGTTTTAATATACCTAGTAAAAAAATATGGCATTACTTCTGTTTCAAAATGAGATCTGAAAACCATGTAAAAAAGTTGGCTAAAGAATTTTATTTGGCTTCGGTTCAGTCAAGATTAACCAAAGCTGAACTAAATGAATTTTAACGAAAATTCTGACGTCACAGTAACCGTTTGGTTTGTCAAAGTTTAAACCGGCTACATGCAAAGGTTTTACGCACGACTATGTCACTGACATCAGTAGCGGAGCGTAGTCAACTCTTTTCAGTAAATTATTGAACTGCCGAACCAAAACTAAATTTACTAAATTACTGTCAGTTTTACATCGACCAAAATTAAAGCTAAACAGAATTCACCTCTTGGGTCTTGGGATATATTTAAGAATAAAATGAATTGGGCTAAATTTATTTTCATGCATTCATTTTATTAATCGCAAACTGAGGATTTCAGATAATATCCGGAGCACCATGCAAAAAAATTTAATATAACCACTTACTTTCTACTGACGACATACTTTCGTTAGAGTCAATATCCTCGTTTGTTAAAGTGTCATCGAAATGTATAGTGTGCCTTGAAGCTACAAAAAACAAGTGCGGTTTACAGACTACCATATTAAAGCTGTATTGTTTCTTTTATCAGATGCGATCGAACAAGTCCTATTGTAGTATGTAGTATAAGCGCCGTGATTGCACCAATGTGGTCAATTTTGTTACTGTCTTAACGTCACACTGGTTTTGAATGCTGATAATAAAATTACAGCATGTAGTGGAGAAAAACGCCACATTGTCAAAAGAGATACAATCTAACCTATAAAAATTATCAATTTGGTATTTCGAGCTATCAATTAAAACCGCCATTCTAGTATTGAAGCGTAATTTTTTTTCTGGACATATTAATCTCCAAACATATTAATACCATGCTAACTTAGCGCATTATACTACGTTAATGATATTAATAAGTTTAGTAAAAAAATACAACTTTATTAAGTTTGAACAGTACAGTGTTGGAACTAAAACCTTTCACAATCAAAATAGAGGTTTTAAAATACCCAACGTATTGTACCAAATACATAAATATTGTATAAAGTCCCTATTCCATTTGTCAGTACCACTACCCAGCCTACCCAAGTAACAAAAGCTTTTATTTCTTCATGCCGTAATATTTATTTTTATGTTAGGATGGGGTGTTACTGCATAGCAAAATAATAATAAATATACATATATGCAAATTTCCACACCAATTATTTTGGAATATTAAATTAGTTAAATCGTTATATCCCACCAAATCAATTTATCTATTATTAATTACCTCTAGACTTCTCTTTGTTGTTTAAATGCCTCCTCGGAGTAATAGCTGGTTGGCCGTTATCATAATTTCTACTTCTCGGCGGGGCAGTAGGAGTGGGTAAGTCATCGTCCGACGTTGATATGTTGTCTGTAATACCGATGGTGTTAATATTACCTAAAAAAAATTTTTAAAAGTTTACTGAAAATCCTTCAATATAGCGGTTAACAACTTACTTGTCGAATACGAGTGTTTCTTACGGTTCTGCAGAGATTTATTATTGATTTTGTTATGTGAACTGATGGTAGGTCGCATCAATCTAGAAACTTTCTTTTCCTGCGTCTCAGGATCCGAGTCTGATTGATTCAAGACCCCGCTTGATCGGCTACGAGTTATCGAATTATTCTTTATATATCTCGAGTTATTCCGTATCGTATTTGTTGGCTTTTTGCCTGAAACTACAAATATCGATTAAGCATATAACTAGATAATGTGCAATAAGTTTTATGTACAGAAAAGATGGACAGTACAGAAACATAACCTCAAATTTAAGTTACATATTTTTGAGGTTATGTTGTTTTAAAGCTATATACAGCGAAGAAAATAGACATTAATAGCGACAGACATTTCTATCATGAATAAACGCTATGAATGATTGTGAAATTTAATTAATTAGGGTAAGTACGCATGCATTTAACCTGACTTGTGCTATCAAAGCAAACTTACCTTGGTCGATTTTTCTTTTTGACACAGCAGGCAATTGCATACTTAAATCGCTTAAGCTGCACGACCTACGTAAACTGCTATCTGGGGAACTTTCATCCAAATAGACTGAAAACATGCACAAAACAAAATAGTAAAACAACCTATACTGAGCTACACGAATTGTATAACATATTCATGATTGTACCATCCAAAGATTAAAAATGTGTTATCGTGTAGCTTAATATCATAATGGCATGCATAACATGGGGAGATGGTAGGATAAAATATATCTGAAATTCATGCACGTCGCAGACAGGACAGGTTTCTTCTATGCGCCAGCCATTTTTACAGCCACTTTCATGGTTTTTACAAGACACGGCATGCTTGTAGACACATAGGTAATCACCTTCTGATTTTAAAGGACTGTCATCGTGTTTGGCCGCTTCTACAGTGTTCCTATCGTTGGCATTCTTGTTATCAACTTTCGCAAGTTCAACCTCCTCTCGACGAAACTGGGCAAACTCAAGTTTCGCCTTCTGAATTTAACGGGCGTCGCTTGGAGTTTCGTTAAATCGTTATAGTAACTTTGCGAGCTGGTCATAGATTCGTACATACTTGACAGAGCACGTACTTTACCCGTCGTGATATTTTTCTTAAAGACGTCAACCAAATTATTTATTTTGTGTATTTTCTTTTGGATTTCATTGAGTATTTTGATGTTCTCTAAAGCGAACGCTATTTTATCATTTTTACAAGGCGAACCTGGCTTCTTTAAAACATTTTCTAACTGAAACGCTGTGTTTTTTGACACTCCGCTGTTTTTCGACCACACATTAACCTCTAAACTATCGTACAATTTTTGATCGGTATCCCGCGTATTAAGGTTTACTTCCAAAGAATCAAATTCCATTTTCGAGTTTAACATTCTCTTATCAAGACTATCGTATAGTTCATTGAAGATATTCTGCTCCTTATGATTACTTGTTTCTAAATCCTTTTCGATGAATTTTTCCTTGTAATTTAATTCGATAGTATTCGTATCAGTAACTAAATCCTGATTCGTGCAGTTATTCAAAACATCTTTAGTCTTATTGTTCTTGCTACAATTCTTATAAAAATCTTCCTTTTTAACATATTCGTAACTAGTCTTGGTTTTCTTTATTTTTGAACTGTGCCTCCTGACCGCTTTCGGTGGCTTGTGACAAACCTTTTCACTCGTTAACAAACTCTTGGTAAATAAATGTCGATCTAAACTAGAAGTTTCTTGTATGTGTTTTTTTGTTGGTGTTTTTTTCAAAATTGACCGTCGATAACGTAAACGAATGATTACCATTACCGTTATTAGTTTTCTTCGACCCTGATTCAAATATTTCTATATTAAACTCTGGTTTATTGTTCAGAACATTACAAAACTTTTCTTTATATTGTTTATTTTTACTTGCTAACGTTGGTATATACATTTCCGAATAATTTTTTTACCGGCACATTTTCTTTGCTCTTTGATTTGGGACTTTTCGGTTTGTGAACCGGCGTTTCTATAAAGAAAGCGACTGGTTTCTTCTGTTCAAATTTGAGTAACGTTTTCTTTGAAACTCGTCGCTTCCGCGTGCTTTTTTCGATACTATTTCTTGGGGCGACTCAAAATCTGTTTGTGTTTGGCACGTCTTCATATTCGCTTTTATTATTTTTTGTGTATCGCACATGCTTTGAGACCTTTTAACTTCATTACACATCGTTATACTATCGAAAAATATTTCTGAATAATTTTTAGGTAAACTACTGCTCAGTTCAATGTCGTACTGATTCGACATATTTTTTGGTAAGCTCTGTGAGTGAGACATATTCCTTT